AGCGGTGTTGGCGGGAGCCTCTCCCGCCTCCTCAGCAGCGCTAAGGATGTCCAACTCCAGCTTAGGTCTGCTCCCTGCTGGTAAGTGGACATCCTTCGAGGGCTGCCGGGCTGCCAGAGGGATTCTGACTGCCAGCTTGGGCCTGATCCCCCAGGGAGCGGGCCTAAACCAGCAGGTGGACATCCTCCGAGGGGTCCCAGACTGCAAGAGGGCATAGGCCGGGCTGAGGGAGCCCCACCCCGAGTGCACAAATTTTTATGCACTGGGCCTCAAGTTTATTATATTCATCTAACTCATACACATATCCCCTTCATTCCTTAATAGCTTTATAAAAATAATTTTAGAATATTAAAAAACATACAATGGTTCTAAAAAATAATATTGATATCAAATACTTAAACCTTTATCTGTTAAAATAAATAGCTTCAAGCTACAGTCCAGATCATCTTATTAAAGGTAAGAAAGGTAACCTGACAAACTGAAGCACATTACTTTTCTAAATAGTGGGAAGAAGCAAAGGGAAAACTGTAAAATAATCTATTTTCTCCCTTTCCACTTAATAAGATGAGAAATAAAAAACTACAGGAAATTTTTAGAGCCTATTTTCTTTACATCTCAGAGATAGCCACTTACAGCACTCCTTCTGAATCTAAGCCCCCTATGGAACTGCAGGAAACTCAGAGAAAGCTAACCATGAGATAATAATAAATTAATAATAAATGTTAGGGGGAAAAAGAGCTCAGATACTATTATAAAAGAGAAAACTAAACCTAGATAAGGCAGGAAAAGAGATCTAAAATACTCAGAGATGATCAGCTCTTAGAGAAATGCAAAGAGAACACAAAATTGTAGGTTGGAGTTTACAGAAGAAAACTAATTTGAAGACTGACTTTTTATGAAAAAACTAGAAGCCTGGTACGCAATATTCGTGCACTCAAGGGGGGAGGGCCCTTAGCCTGGCATGTGCCCATTAGCAGTCGGGGAGCGGGCCTAAGCCAGCAATCGGACATCCTTAGTACTGCCACCGCCGCTGTGCTTGCCAGCTGTCAGCCTGGCTTGTGGCTGAGCGGCACTCCCCCTGTGGGCGCACACTGACCACCAGGGAGCAGCTCCTGTGTTAAGCATCTGCCCCCTGGTGGTCAGTGCATGTCATAACAAACGGTCATTCCACCGTTCAGTCAATTTGCATATTACCCTTTTTTTATATAGGATTATTATACAGGATGCTCAACGTCACTAATTATCAAAGAAATGCAAATTCAAACCACAATGAGCTATCACCTCACACCTGTCAGAGTGCTATCATCAATAAATCAACAACAACAAAAAAGTGTTGGCAAAGATATAGAGAAAAGGAAACCTGTTGGTGGGACTGCAGATTGGTACGGCCACTATAGAAAACAGTATGGAGTTTCCTCAAAAAATTAAAACTGTAACTGCCTATGACCCTGCAATTCTCCTTGTGGAAATATATGCAAAGAAATCCGAAACACTAATTTGAAAGAATACATACACCCCTATGTCCACTGCAATGTTATTTATGTTATTTACAACTAGAGGTCTGGTGCACAAAAACATGCACAGATGGGGTCCGGCAGGCGGGGGCCAGCCTGGGGCAGAGGACGCAGGAGGTTGGACACCAGCCCCACCCTGAATGGGCCTGATCAGGGCCGGGCCAGCTGCATGGAGGGAGGGGCCACAGGAGGTTGGCCGGCCAGCTGGTCCTGCCCCCGGT